AAACACACCCAAAAAGGCCACCAGCAGGATCAGCTGTCCTAAACCTTGTGAACGTCAAGCGGTTCAGCAACCTAAATCGACTCGTCAAGACAGTTGCTTGGATTTGGAGAGCAGCGAAGAAGTTCATTAGAGGGAAACAGCAAACTGCAAACGGTCCAAAGTGGGAGGCAGTGTCGTCTTCGCAAGTCATCTCAGTGAAAGAGAGAGAAGATGCCCTAAGAGACATCTTTCTTGCGGCACAGCAAGGTGCATCCTTCCCAAGTACAACCACAGACAGGCTAGTGGTGTACAGAGACCAAGAGACTGGCTTGTTGGTCTGTGGGGGTCGCGTGCAGATCTTCAATGAAGATAAAGTTGCTGTCCCTATCTTGTCGTATGAAGCCTGGGTATCAACGCTGTTAGCACGAGAAGCCCATGAGGAGAACCACGATGGAGTGGCCGGAACCTTGCTCAAGATGAGGAGAAGAGCATGGGTCGTGAAGGGTCGGAGGATTGCTCAGAAAGTGGTAAAAAACTGCATGCTCTGCAGAAAAATTAAAGAAAAAAAATGCCAGCAAATAATGGGTGATCTACCTCCAGAGAGGACAGAACCAGCTGCCCCCTTTGAATACACAACAGTGGACCTCTTCGGACCGTACCAAGTCAAGGATGATGTCAAGAAAAGAGTGTCACTGAAGGTTTGGGGAATTGTGTTTTGTTGCATGGAGCTATTCACACAGAGCTGGTGAACTCTCAATCCACTGAAAGTTTCCTGTTCGCCTACCAGAGGTTCACAGCACTACGAGGTCATCCAAAGAAGATCTGGTCAGATCCAGGTACTAACTTCGTAGGGGCTAAGCCAGTCCTAGAAGAACAGTACAGATTATTTGCCAATCTTGACAAAGCTTCACTAGAAGAGAGAGCTGCCAAGAATGGCACAGAATGGACATGGAAAATTCATCCAGCCGATTCTCCACACCGGAACGGTGCTGCAGAAGCTGCTGTGCGCATCATCAAGAGAGCACTGCAGAGTCTGGCAGCCAATCTTACGAATGAAAGACCAATTGACGCCAGAACACAGAGCCGAGAAGACAGCGTTCAGTTCATCACTCCTAACTGTCTCCTGCTCGGACGAGCATCGCAGAGTGGAGATCTCAGAACATTGGACTTCAGTGACTATCCCTACAAAAGGCTTAAAGAAATGCAAGCGCAAGTGAACAAGTTCTGGAGGCACTGGAGTCAACTCGCTGGCCCTAATCTATTCGTAAGGAACAAGTGGCATACAGCCAAGAGAAATGTCGCAGTCGGAGACATCGTCTGGATTGCAGACCAGAACGCCCTGAGGGGTCAGTTCAGGATTGCAAGAGTGGTCAGTGTCAACTCGGACAGCAAAGGAATTGTGAGGGATGTCAACGTCAGAACATTCCCAAGCTACCCTGTTCCTGTCACAAGGCCTACCACAGCAAAAGCAAATCACCAAAGATCGAAAAAACTCGAAGAGATCCCAGCGACAGTCCTTCACAGAGACGTCAGGCGACTGGTCGTCTTGCTTCCCACTGAAGAGCAGAACAAAGCGTCTGACCCAAGTTTACCTTTGTAACATGCGACCTCCCAGGTGTCTCCACTGGAAAGTCGAGTGGGAGGTGTGAAGTCAACTTGGAAAATCCTCACAGGAGATCAAGGGGTTAAAAAGTCGGGCTGATTGACAGAGTGGCAGCTGTCTGAAATCAGTCTCTAATTGCTAATCAGCGTCGCTGCACCTTTAAAAGCAACGCACCTGAAAGAAGGGCAGGAATCAAAGCTGGAAAGGGACAAACTAAAGAGCGTGCGTCCAGCAGCAGCAACGAACCAGCAGAATAAACGTTGAAGAAGCAGCACTGGTGCAGCTAGTGATGGCAAAATGAAGCTTTGAATGAAGCGTCGAACCACTTGGACAATTGTGTCGGAAATAGGTTCATTTCTCGAAGCTTCAGTTACAGCGACCTCTCCTGGCGAAGTGCAAGGCTGCAGTGGGTTTAACGTATCTTTGCCTTGAAAAATATTCGATGCACACACACACAAAGACTGAATATCATGTTCTATTTGCAATTAAAGATTGATAATTGTGTGTATTGGGTTATTGAGAAGAGACTAGAGAGTGCTAGACATGTTTTTGGGCGGAGAGGGCCTTTTATCAGTTATTAAAGTTGAAAAGCAATGATTAAAATATGTCCATTCCGGGATTTGAACCAGCTGCGCGGAGGACATTGCTGCGCGGAGGACATCGCCGCATTCGGGCCGCCGGCTCTATCCACTGGACTATCTATTCCTTGAAATATTTAACTGTTTTCATATTACTGATAATTGTCTTTTTGTTCACAACTTCTCCACATTTCGAAGTGTTTCCCGAGCCAGAACGACCTATCTTACTTCCTGGCTTGCTCTATAATGATATCAAATGCAATAACAACAACAACTCAACAGCAACAACGCAAACTACGACAACAACCCACACATTGTGCATTGTTTAGAGCGGTCATAAAGTGTTGAAGCACTCAAGTTTGAAACTGTTTCAACCTGTCAGAATCGAGACGAGGCAGTGCATTGAATCGCGTGAATGGACCGTGAACCAGTCAAGTGATTCATTCAGGAAATGAAGCAGTTGCTGCTTCGGACGTCACATGTCACGTGATTTGAAGCAGTTGCTGCTTCGGACGTCATATGTCACGTGATTTGAAGCAAGCTTCGAAGCACTGCTTCTATGGAATAGGAAGTCCAGGGTTGAAGCTCCGTTCGAAGCTTCATTGTCAAACTGCCATCACTAGGTGCAGCTATAAAAAGCTGGAGAAGCGGCCGGTGAGAGACGAACTGTGTGTTTAGTCAAGTCATACAACTTACCGTTCATGGCGCACGTTAGAACGTGCGTTCTAGTTCAGTGTCATTTGTTTGTTTGATGTCCTCAAGCTAAAGCAACATGATTGTTGATTTAAAACGAGTGTGTTTTGTTTATTGAGATATGTAGATTGGTAAAAACGGTCTGCATGCTGCTAAGAATTATATTTGCATTTTTAATGAGACTGCATAAGTTAAAAAACTGTTTAAAACATAATTCATAAAAATACATTAAGAAAGTAAGAACAATATTCACAAGTGTTAAAAAGTATATGTAAAGCATGTATTTTTTCATTTATTATTTGATGTGCATTGTATTTACAGTAATTATTTTTTATTTTTCATTTAAGGTTTTTTACCTTACAACTTACAACTTACAACCTTACAACCTAAAATGTACTGCAACAACAAATACCAAAGTAAAGAAGAACTCAAAAGAAACAAAGTTGTGGTCATTGTATGAGTGAAACCCAGTGAAAACCTCCTATGGACTGTACCATCCCTTTCAAGCGGGGAAAACTGCAAATATACCCAAGGGCTTGACAATAACCTTAATCCAATAATGGTATAATACGTATTATAATAATAATAATACATATTATAATAAAGGAGCCATGTATCATTTACTGTAAATTCATTTACATATGATACACAATGTTGCTGATTCTTTTCAGGTAAGCTGTTGAACATCCTTGTGCTGATAATACTCAGCTTAACTCAAGTAGACAGGCCGCAGAGTTTGAGGGTCTTAAAAGGTTTCCGCATATGCTTTTTTGTGTTTTCCTTTCCAGTTTCTCTCCTACTGATAGAGTAGCGAAGTCACGCCCATCTACTTCCGCCCCATGGGACCTTATTTCTGAAAAATTATGTATTGAAGTCAATGGAGAGAGAAAACGTATCTTTCGATCCCGTTTGAATTGTGCCATGAATTACACATCTGTTTGTTAATCTTAAAAAAATCATTTCCATGTAAAAAAAGTCACAGTTTGTCTTAAAACTGTTGAAATATAAGACTATGAAAAATACGACTACAAAAAGACTACAAATCCCAGAGTCACGTACATTAACGTTACACATTACACTCGTGTTACTCACCGAAACCTTGTAAAGCCGGTCCCGCATGCTGGCTCTTACGGAACCGACTAACTCCCCTTGTGTGTATGTACAGCTCTCAACATGCCCAGACTTGTAGTGATTTTCACCTCTTTTAATACTTTTCGCCTCATTCTGAAAGAAAGAGGTGAAATGTGCTAACGTGACGGCCATCTTGGTGTTGGTGATGTATGCAAGACCAGAGATGTAATTAATTGAGCGCTTCACACAAAAAAATGTGTTACTTCACAGTTTTAAGACACATTTTTATTTTTTTGACTTGCAAAATTATCTTTTAAATTGACAAACATCATATGTGTAATTCGTTGCACAATTCAAACGGGATCAAAAGATAATCTTTCTCTCTCCATTGACTTCAATACATGATATTTCCGAAATAAGATCCCATGGCGGTCCCCCGGAAGGGGAGGGACTTCGCCACTCTATTGATAAACTAAGGGCCATGATGACATCTCTAAGCGGTTGACCAATCACAACAGAGTTGGCCACCAAACCAATCAGAGCAGACTGGGCTCTGGCTTCAGACAGAGGGTGAAAAAAGGTGCTGCAGCACAGGCAGTATGAGAAAAATAAAAGAGCCTTTTGAACAGTTATAGACACAAAACGGATATATAAACCTAAAATGAGCTAAATATGTCCTCTTTAACTTACTTAAACAGTGTTAGTAGAGGGAGCTCTGTGGATTTTGTGTGGTAAATAATTAGCTAGAGGTCCACAACACACCCAATAAAACACTTTGATAAGTTCCTCAGTGATTAACACTAATTCAGACTACATTACTGCACTGTTAGCCCGGAGTTCATATCTAATTAAATAATGAATTACAAATTACTGACATTATTTAAGTTTCATTGCATTACTATCAAATGTAAGCTTATTCTACTTGCTGACTACCAAATGTAAGCATATAATACTTACATGTGTTAGTTAAGCAATGTGTCAATAATTTTAAGTTAAGTCACTTCACATTATTAAGTTTTAGTCATGTTCGCAATGCATTATGGGAAAGAGAAGGATCTTTTAATGTGCCGCAGCCACGTTTCCAGCTCGCAATTTCTCAGTCGGACGCAACCCCACGTTGAACGACGGACTTGCACCCTTTCACCGCGCTGTCTACGCTTCCAAAGGAAGGACGCTGCACGGCTGCCTTATCTACTGAATCTGGTGAGTGATTTAGCTAACAGGGCTTGGTTGAATTCTCGTACTTTTGGGTGTAACACAGCCACAGGAAGTATCAACTGGCGGGAACACGGTGTGGGCTTCTCTCGCATTGTTTAAGTACTTGTTAGAGGAAAATAAAAATGTTAACAGACTTTGACAGTTACAGGTAAATTCGAATAATGCTGCAGTTTATTTTCTGAATTAAAGTTCCATTCGTTTCGTGGAGCGGACTTTTTATTTTGGCGGAAGCATTACGATCATTTTTAAGTCAATTAAATCATTTAAAAATCGATATTATGAATAATTTGTTTGTTTTTTTAGTATGTAGCCGTGTAATAAGCGGTAGAATGTGCTGCTAGGTGGTCACTAGGGGGGGGGAATCCCCGCAGTGTGATCATGGAGCCCGCGGAGGGATCTAAATCTTAATAGCGACCGCATTAAGTTTTCAGTTGATTTACCTCACTTAACTGCAGCAATTCTACTCTACTGCAGTCAGGCAATGTGTGTTTCCCTCGCTTTTGTTAACTTTTACTGAGCGATAGTAGGCTACGAGGTGCAGATAGTTTTAAACAGATAGTGCTGTACTTTTTTCACTTGTTCGTGTTCACTGAAAGACGTAGATTTTTTTTCACCCAGTTGCTGTTTTTGTCACCTTTCTTTTAGTCGTGTGAGTCGGACACCACCCCACATTAACGCCGGACGCTCGAACCCTGCCACAGGCTGTCTCAGGCTTCCATCATAGGGAGAGGAGGGTGGCGCTTGGACGGCTGCTTTGTGCTACTACATCAGGTGAGACGCCATTTAGCTAACATTAGCGACCACATTACGTTATCAGATGTTGTTGATTAACGTCCCTTAAAGGTGGGGTATGTAATTTATTTCAGAAACACTTATTGTTATATTCCATGGAATGCTCTTAACATCCCGATAGCAATGCATATATGAAATGCTTTGACAATAAATACATACAAAATGTTCATCTGTGGAAGCCGTAGCGCTGTAAAAAGCACGACCAATCATTTTAGCCGGCCCGGCTAAAATAGCTGGATGGCCTACCTGCCTGTCAGCCTGAGAGCGGTCTGCCTGCAGGCTCCACTCTCAGGACACCTCCACTCTCACGGAGGTGATGAGTCCGCTCACCATGCACTTTGGGTCGGCCTTGGGCAGGCCTTTTGAACCCCCCATCCTGGTTCTCGTAATAGTTGACTTAGCCATTTTTCGCTCAAACCATGGAGGAATGTAACGGGAGTTAACAGGGGGCTCTGCCCGCCTCATGAGTGCCTATTTTCGGACACTTTTTGTCACTTTCCCCCCTATTTTCCCCGGTTTTATAAATGTTTCTTTTTTTGGCTATTTCACCTGGTTCCTTCTAACGGGGACATAGCCCGGTCTCGGGTGTCCCCCTATGGCCTGTGTCCAGCCGTTCCCCCTACCCCCACCACTCATCCATATATTAACCGATTTTGACAATTCTTGTTGCATTTTTGTCCTCTCTTCTCACTGATAGAATGGCAAACGCGACCCACCATCGGAGGGCCTCCACCGGCCTAGTGCCGGTGTCCTGGTGGTCGGTTCCTCCGAACTGCGGGTTCGACTCTGATGGCCGCGAGGGTGTGCTGCGTGTCTCTTCCCGGGCCGGGCCGATATGAAGCATGACCAAGACGCATCGTCTGACTCGGGGGTCCCACCACGGGTCCCGCAGCGGGGTGGAGGTTCCAGGCTGAAACCTCCCCAGGTTTGTTTGTCCTTTTGTGTTCTAAATGTAATGTTCATAAAATGTAGTTATATCCTCATACCTACTTAAATATCTGATTTTATTAAGATATTACTGTGAGAAGTGCACAGAGGCATCTTGAAAAATCAGATGGTGAAGCAAGCAAAAGCTGTCTAAATTTAAAAAAATGCACTTATTTGTTTCACCAAGGATGATTTCATTTGACAGTTTTACATGGTTTGTTCTCTTTTGTGTTTCAGGTTTATTGCGAGTTCAACAGAGTGGTGGGGGAAAATCTCAAGGACAACTTCTTCGATGCACTTGACCGTTTCTCTCCGAGCCTGATGGACCTCTTTAGGAAGAAGAAAGGAGTCACTGGCCAATTTCTGTCTGAGCTTTTAAGTCAGACTAAGGTGGGTTTACTTAACATCTGTCTACCCAATCTCTTTCCTCTCTCCTTGTTCCTCTTCTGTCCCTTTGACTTCCTTCTCATCTCTTCTTTTCTCTCATTTGCTGCTCTTGTCCTGTCAATTTAATTGCATCTCTTCATGTGTCATTGTTTCCTCTTTTCCCTTGTTCATTTTGCTTTGCTCTCTTGTTTTGTTTCCTATTATATTCTTTGGTCAAGAAGAAATTATGTTCTCTCCCTTTTCTATTCTCCCATCATGTCATCTCCTTTTATCCTCTCCTTTACTTTCAAGTATATTTGCAATAAAGTAATTGTGTAGAGTTTGTAGAATGTATTTGATTTTGATGAATATATGACCATTCTTTGTTATCTCCACTATATTCCAGACCACTGAGCCAATCAGATGCCTTTGTGTTCGGGGACTGCCAATCATCTTGGGGGATGAGCCTTCTGCCTTCTTCAAGACCTGCACCGTAAGTTACTTTAACCCTTGTGTTATGTTCACATTTTGCACCCTTTGGTAATTTTTGGGTGAAATTCACCCGGGACATATTTCAGTTTAAAAAAATACGGAACTAAATTTAGCTTACACTATTCCTTATATATATATTGTCTTTAACTAATTCACCAACAATATAAATGAAATATGATATGTTTTTTAAATATGTATGATGCTTTTCATTATAAACAGTGGAAGCTACTTTTTGGTGGACGATGTAGAATGATCTGTCACTCTTTATTTCTCTGTTAGGATGCGGCTGATAAGGAGGTGTACAGTCAAACTCCACTGGGAATCCTCTGTGTTGGAGAAAATCCTCAGCTCAACCCATCCAGTGTGGCAATCGTCTTGGAGGGGAATGTGGTGATGGATGGACCGGCTAACCTGCCTCAGGCCTTCGGTGTCCTGTTCAGACTCATTTATGCCCTGCAACTGGAGTACCCAAAGTGCATGAAAAACACTTTCCACCTTGTTCAGCAGGTAATATTAAAACTTGGTAAAGTTGAGCTGGCACCCAAAATTCAGTCTTTGAAAAATCAGCTTACATTGTGAAACGGGGTTCTGAAAAGTTGGCTACTGTTACATATGGCAAGTATTTAGGCTTCCATATTGCATTTTGTTGTTGTTGCATGTTTGCACTGTTTGACCTATTAAGCTTGTTGGCATTTCCATTTGTGTTTTATTCTATAAACTACTGACAACATCTCTCCCAAAAGTCATTTAGAGCATTTATTTGCAGAACATTACAACTGGTCAGAATAACAGAGAAAATGCTGTGTTTTCAAACCTCAAATAATGCAAAGAAAACAAGTTCTTCATTATTAAACAACACAATACTAATGTTTGAACTTAGGAAGAGTTCAGAAATCAATATTTGGTGGAATAACCCAGATGTTTCAATAACAGCTTTCAATGCGTCTTGGTTGCTCGCCACCAGTCTGTCACATTGTTGCTGGGTGACTTTATGTCTCTCCTGGCACACAAACTCAAACAGCAATGTGAAAGGTGTTGCAGAGCAGCCAAGACGCATGAAAGCTGTGATTGAAAATCTGGGTTATTCCACCAATTACTGATTCCTGAGCCCTTCCTATGTTAAAACATTAGTATTGTGTTGTTGAAAAATGAATTTTAAATTGTTTTCTTTGCACTATTCGAGGTCTGAAAACACTATTCGAGGTCTGAAAACACTATTCGAGGTCTGAAAACACTCATTTGGTATTTTTTGTAAATAAACGCTCTAAATGAGAATATTTGGAGTTTGGGATAAATGTTGTCAGTCATTAATTTATAGCAGGGGTGGCCAACCCGCGGCTCTCGAGCCGCATGCGGCTCTTTGCCTAGTTTCATGCGGCTCTTCAGTTCATATCGAATTTTATATGTGTGAGTTTGGGGGAGAGACACTGACTCCTGACTAGTGTTGCACGGTGTACCGATACTTGAAAGGTACCGCGACACCCTGCCGTTAAAAACGTTACGATTCCTCCGTTTCATTAGTATCGGTACTTTAAGAATGACGGGGGAAAGTACTCCGGTGAGAAAGCGCCGTTTTAATAAGAGCCGTGTGTGTTCAGCGCTCTGCTTCCACTCCCTGCACTGCAGCCGTGCCTGCAGTCCCGCCCCTCTCAAGCACGTTCTAAGTCCCTCCCCTCTCAAGCACGCTCTAAGTGCCTCCCCTCTCTCGTGCACGCGCTAGCTGCCAGAGCATGTGAGAAAACGAGAAGCATGGCTGCAAGTGGGAGTGCAACTGCCGCTGCGCCTCGGCTTGTTGACAAAAAAGACGCCAGAAGCGAAATTTGGAAGTATTTTAGCTATATCTCTGACAGTGAGGGCAAGCCTACGGACACCACGAGGCCTGTCTGTAAGACATTTATTAATTTTATTTAATACGAATTCTTGTCATTTATTTTATTTATTGTTCTCATTGTTTAAACGTTTGTGTTATGGTTATGGTTCTGGTGTGAAATAAAGCACAATAATTACATTTAAGACTGTTTCCCTTTTTTTAAGAAAAGTATCGAAAAAGAATCGGAATCGCAATTCTTGACTTGGTATCGAAACCAAAATGTTGGTATCGTGACAACACTAGCTACTCCTGACAGTTAAACCTGATATTTAGTAGGTCTGTTAAGTATTGAATGCTGATAATTCTGACGTAATTTGGCCGGTCAAAGTTGTTTGGGCTCGGATAAAATCGCTCCGTTACTTTCGTCCCGTGTTATGTATGTTGTGTATGTGTGGTGTCAGTATGAGAGGATGACAGCGCGTATAATTTTTGATGTGGCCCAAGAGCCAATCACAATAATACCTGCGATGCAGTGAACCAATCACCTTTGAGGGGGGGAAAACCTATCGTTGATTAAACACTATCCAGTGTTTCCCCTACCATTGTCTTGGAGGGGCGCTGCGCCCCGCCAACGGAGCCCCGCGCCCCCCCCCTGAAATTCAAGGTGTTTAAAAAAAATATATATATAATTTTATTTTTAAATATATATATAGCACCAAATTGCAAATAATCTATAACTACTGTCACTTTTCACATTGAACATGTGCTCTTTTATTAAATAAACTAAACGCTTTCATTTTAAGTTGTGAGTTTAGTGTTTTTGACCCTAAGAAACACTGATGCATTAATCAATAATCCACAGCTCCTCTCTCTGCTCCAGAGGATTTAAAAAATATATATCCCAATGCCACAAAAATGCATCAGTGACGTGGTTGAAATCTTGTCTCCAGAAAACAAAAAAACGGAAACAAGCGGTATCAGTGACTGTGTTTGATGTGGCTCTTTGCAGTAACATAGAAAAAATGTGGCTCTTAACCTCTGACTGGTTGGCCACCCCTGATTTATAGAATAAAACACAAATGTTAATCCAGTTTTTACCAATAGTAAAACGAGAGAAACTGGTAATTTTACAGAGGTCTCTTAATTTGTTCAGAGCTCTACATAAATATATAGATCTATATATCTTTATATATATATATATATATATAGAGATTGCTATTGTTTCATGTGAAAAATGTTCTCAGGAAAATGTATGGTACAATATTTTTGCCACAGTTTGTATAGGAAGCTCAATTTCATTGTATCCAAATGAAACACTCAAGTTTTAATAAAAGGTAAAACTTTATTTTTGTGTCTTTTTTCTTTTTTGTAGTTGACGGAATAAAAAATATAAATACGAAATGTAACCACTTTCAACAAAAAATTCTAAGTTAAATAATTGGAAAAAAACAATTGATATTACACAATATTTTAAGTAAAATCAACTTCACATGAAGTGCATTGTACTTCAAATAACAATTCCAGTCCTTGAATAATTTAAGTTAAATTCACTCAAGTTTTCCTAATGCGTTACTTAAAAAAATAGAAAGTGGTTGACTTAAAAATTTAAGTAAAATCAACTTGACGTGAAGTGGATTGTACTTCAAATAACAATTAAAGTCCTTGATTAATTTAAGTTTAATTTACTCAAGTTTTCATAATGCTTTACTTAAATTTTTAAAGGCAACCACTTTACGCTATTTTTTAAAGTAGATTCAACTTATCCGGGCTTACAGTGTGTGAGTTGTCAATTTAGGTAGTATTATAGCGCATTCCCACTACAGCGCGGATCTTGCTTTAAGCGTGCCCGGCCCGTTTTTGGTTGCGTTTCCACTTGGCGTAGTACTGGCTAGCGGGTACTATTAAAATCGAGGTTCTTTCCGGGCCAACAACCAGGCTGAGTCGGGCTGAGTATGCTAAACTAGAGAGAGAATCGCTGGCAAGGGGGCTACAACTAAAATGAACATATTTGACCGTGATTTAATTGTGATACACGTTTCAAAATGATGCCGAAGTAACAACATACTGATACCGGTTAGTAAAAACCATGAATTAATGCTTTGACAAGTCTGCAGGCAAAAAACCTTTTTAAATGCGTGTTTTCTAAATGCGTGTTTTCTAAATGGAGATCGGCTAAGCTAACGCAGTATATGCTCCGACGGTCCACACTCACAACAACGGCCTATAGAGACATAAATAAACCTGCGACTGTATGACACAGACACATGACACAGACAGTCTGTGGTTTGTACTGTCTAGTTTCTGAACAGATACGAGGAGCTGTGAGCTTGAGTGCTAACAGCTAACGGCTGATGTTGTTTTTCTGTGGTTCTCATGGAAGATGATGTCACGGCTCCGCCTACACTGCGTTACTGTAGTTACTGCCCCAGCTACTAAACTGTAATGGAAACGCAGCATAAAGTGAGCCAGTCCTAACTAATGTTTTATGGTTCTGTTTAAGCAACTCAAAGCACATGATCAAGATTAAAGAATTAAAGCTGTACCAAATTGCATGGTTCTATACACGACATTTATTTTCATATTTGTATTAATAGTAACTTAATAATAATGTTGCCACACAGGATACAAACACCTTCTAGATTTCACCACAGGGTGATGCAGACATGGTGATTGGATGATGTATTACA